GAAGCCAAGTGTCTGACCTTCCCAGAATGCTATATGGTTAATCTAAGTTTTATTTATAATAAACATAAGACATCTTAAGAGTAAGGTAAGCAGTTAACCTTTAGTTTCAGAACTGTCATCAGGAGCCAGTGCTGTGTCGAAGCAGGTTGACACCCTGGCCTGAGGCACCGGCTTCCCACATGGGCACGGTTCGAGACCTGGCTGCTCCACTTCCAATCCAGCTCTCTGCTATGACCTGGGACAGCAGTGGAAGATGGCCCAAGTCCTCAGGCCCCTGCACCTGCGTGGGAGGCCCAGAAGAAGCTCCTGGCTCCTGGCTCCAGATCGGTGCAGCTCTAGCCTTTGCGGCCAATTGGGGAGTAAACCAGCAGATGGAAGACCTCTCTCTCTCTCTGCCTCTCCTCTCTGTGTAACTCTTTCAAATAAATAAATCTTTTTTAAAAAATGTCATCAATTCAATGTTCTTAAAAAAGAAAAAGTGAAAACAATGGGAAACTGAGCGCCGTGGCTCACTGGGCTAATCCTCCGCCTGTGGCGCAGCACCGGCATATGGGCACCGGGTTCTAGTCCCAGTTGTTCCTCTTCCAGTCCAGCTCTCTGCTGTGGCCTGGGAAAGCAGTGGAGGATGGCACTCGCATGGGAGACCAGGAGGAGGCACCTGGTTCCTGGCTTCGGATTGGCGTACTTCTGGCCATTTGGGGGTGAACCAACGGAAGGAAGACCTTTCTGTCTCTCTCTCTCACTAACTGTCAAAAAAAAAAAAAAAAAAAGCTCCTAGATGTTTTTTTTAAAAAAGCTGCAAAACATTTGCATGATAAGACACAACTTAGGAAAAATTTAAAATCCACAAGACTACATTTTTCTGTGAATATATGTGTATATAATTGCATACCAAAAAGGTAACAGAAGCATACATACTAGATAGCAACGGTCACCATTTCAGAGGGGCACTCTTAAAGTATCTCCTAGAAAGTACTACACTAAGTACAATGCCTTCCTTACAACAGCTTGCTACCAAAGATAGGTTAGCACATATCCCTGTTTTTTACATTATCACACTTTATCCTTGGTATCCCCTTATCTTTTTCTCATTGCTCTACCCATTATTCAAATATAAGGAAATCATTCTAGTTTTTTTAAGTACTTCAAAATAAGAGATACAGTTGCTAGGAAGTATCAAAATCAACAGTGAGAGCTGGTATTGTGGCAATAAAGGCAATTTAAGTATGCAGCCTCATTTCTTGGCTTGTGGCTTTAATGTAATGCATTTTGAAATATGTGCAGATTTCCAAAGCAAGCAAGATGCTTCAGGAATAAAAGTCTTAATGTGCTGTGTAACATTAACTTGCCACATTTACTCATTTACTTTAGAAAAAATGTTGAAGTAGAAAGGTTAACACTCAAAACCATACAGCTTGTCAGAAAAGATATCTAAGGGGCCGGTGCTGCGGCGCAGCAGGTTAACGCCCTGGCCTGAAGCACCAGCATCCCACAAGGACGTGGGTTTGAGATCCAGCTCTCTGCTACATCCTAGGAAAGCAGTGGAAGAAGGCTCAAGTCCTTGGGTCCCTGCACCTGTGTAGGAGACCCGAAAGAAGCTCCTAGCTCCTGGCTTCAGATCAGCTCAGCTATGGCCATTGCAGCCAATTGGGGAGTGAACCAGCAGATGGAAGACCTCTCTCTCTACACCCTTTTCTAGAAGATCTCAACATCTTAAATGGTCACAACTTCTCTCCTTCTATGTAACTCTGACTTTGAAATAAAAAAAAAAAAGAGGGGCTGGCTCTGTGGCGCAGCGGGTTAAAGCCCCAGCTGCTCCTCTTCTTATCCAGCTCTCTGCTACAGCCTGGGAAAGCAGTAGAAGATGACCCAACTCCTTGGACCCTGCACCCACATGGGAGATCCGGAAGAAGCTCCTGGCTCATGGCTTCAGATCAGCTCAGCTTTGGCCATTGCAATCATTTGGGGAGTGAACCAGTGGAATGAAAGACTCTAACTCTGACTTTCAAATAAATAAAATAATTCTTAAAAAAATATATAAAAAGAAATCCTGGATAGAGCAAGCAGTGTAAAGTAATATTTTTTTAGAAGAGAAGCATTTTTGCAAGAAACTGGAAGTGTTTCTAAATTTTTTCTAAATACTTACAATTAGAAATATTTTGCTGAAAGTTGTAGCTGTTTTTAACCTTAAATATATATTTTTTTTAATTTGACAGGCAGAGTTATAGACAATGAGAGACAGAAAGAAAGGTCTTCCTTCCGTTGATTCACTCCCCAAATGGCCGCTATGACCGGCACTGCACTGATCCTAAGCCAGGAGCCAGGTGCTTCTTCCTGGTCTGCCATGCAGGTGCTGGGGCCCAAGCACCTGGGCCATCCTCCACTGCCGGCTCCGTAGCTCATTTGGTTAATCCTCCACCTGTGTCGCGCCAGCATCCCATACGGGTGCCGGATTCTGTCCTGGTTGCTCCTCTTCCAGTCCAGCTCTCTGCTGTGGCCCGGGAGTGTAGTGGAGGATGGCTCAAGTCCTTGGGCCCTGCACCCGCATGGGAGACCAGGAGGAAGCACCTGGCTCCTGGCTTCGGATCGGCGCAGCCATTTGGGGGGTGAACCAACGGAAGGAAGACCTTTCTCTCTCTCTCTCTCTCTCTCTCTCTCTCACTGTCTAACTCCGCCTGTCTAATAAAAAACAAAACAAAAAGTTGTAACTGTTTTCTTGAAGAGAGAAAGGCCATCAAAGTCAGACAGAAATGTAGAATGAATTTTGGTGTTATAGTTGACTAAACAAAAAATAGAGCGGAAACATACTAGAATCAATGCCTATTATGAAATCAAGTAAATATAGTTCAATGAATCCCAGCTTTTAATTTTTCAAATACAGGTAACACATTTTATAATTTAGAAAAGAGTATTTAAGGAACTATTCATTCTTGTGTCTTTTGACCTGGTCAGTACCATCTACACCCTTTTCTAGAAGATCTCAACATCTTAAATGGTCACGACTTATGTCAATCTGTAACTACAAAAAAAAAAAAACTGAAAATTCTACATGGCCAAGAGAGGTCAAAAGATAAATTTCCAAAGTTAAAGGAGGGTACTAATCTAGTTCCTTCTAGAGATAGCATAAGTGGTAATTATTGGAGATGTCAGATCAATTATCTCAATTCCTGATAGCACTAGTAATAGAGAAAATTAGAAATTACATATTAAAATAAACAGAATCACAATTACTTTTTCAAAATGTTCTAAATATTTGGCACAATGTAATTAGCTTGCCTTAACTGGAAACCAGAAGGAGGCACCTGGCTCCTGGCTTCGGATCGGCGTACCTCTGGCCGTAGCGGCCATTTTGGGGGTAAACCAACAAAAGGAAGACCTTTCTCTCTGTCTCTCTCACTACCTCTGCCAAAAAAACAAAAACAAAACAAAACAAAACAACAAAAAAAAAACTTGGTAAAAGTCATGCGTTTTTCAAAGTGATTTTAAAGATTGTCAGATTGTAGAGTTTTAGATCTACTTGACTTCCTTCTATTCTTCATTATCCTCCTCTATTTTCCCAATTTTATCTTTTATTACTAAAAATCTAAAAACAAAGTATTCTTCCTGACTTTAATGCTAAACAAAAACTACTACACTAATAACATATAAATACTATTTTAAAAAAAGATTTCAATGCAGTTAAAAGCAATAGCTTTAGGGTATTCTCAGGAGACAACCCAAATAAAACAAATTAGAATTCTCATATTTCATGTAATATGATGCTTTGTTTCTTTTCAATTACTATTTACCCAGTCATTGCAATATATATGTTAAAGACAATAATCTTTCCCTCTTATCACAAAACAAAACAAAAACAAAAAGTGGAATCCCACCTTCATTACAGAAACAACTGTATACTTTTAACATTATAATAAAGTATTCAGGAAATTTTAAAGACTACGTTAACCAATTTTTAATTATATTTGTTAAGTGAATATATTTAGTAGCTGAAAAAACATTGATTCTACCTACCTACTGAATTTAATACATAACACAGTAACTTGTGCCTTCCTACTAGCATAATTATTAGGATAGGGAGACAAAAGATCTTAAAAATGAAGACAGTTTCAGAAAAGTTTCCTAACTTTGCTTTATCATCTGTCTTCCCAATATATGCATACTGCACGAGACAGCCTTTTTCCTTACCCTCACTGTAATCCCACCTGAAGACCTTTGGGAGCTATAAAGCAACAACAGTTACACTATATTTTCTATTCTTGCCACTGAATTAGCCTGAATTACAGGAAAGGAAGAAAAAAAGAAATAGCTGAGGTTAACAAAGATGCACAGTAACCAAGAGATGGTAAAGAACAAAAGCTGGAGAATAGTCACACCCCACCAATAATTATTAAACAAGTTTGAGCAAAGGTTCCTACCTAGAATTTGTACCATTAAAATAGGGTCAAAAATCAAAGGACAGATCTCCAGTCATCAGGTTTTCTAACATTTTTTGAATAAAACTCAATTTCATCTCTGAATAGTTGAAAAACCACACTTCACTCCAATATGAACAGCTTATTTCCTACCAACACCTACAACAAAAGGAATGGCAAAACTTTTTTACTCCCTCTAAAAAAGCAAGGAGTACAAATACAAATTTCCCTGATACTCATGATTCCTACTTTCTCCCCCACCCCTGCACAAATACTAATTTCACAGAATACTAAGAGACTACAGAGTACAATCATCTCATAAAAGAAGACAACTTCAGCTGATCTCCCTGACTCTTCCCACTCTTGCCCTCCTCAAAAACACCTCACATAGAGCTCAGTATGTTGAGTCTGGCAAGGTAAAGAAGATCGACTGAGGGCTCACACACCACTTAATACTAAGTTAAAATTATATAACATCAGGGTGTCAATTATTCCAACTTGTAAATCACATGGGGAGGTTTAAGCTATCAATGTAAAAATATAGTAGTACTTCTTCAGTAACTATAACCTCTTTATGTTTTTAATTGCTCATGTTAACAGATTTATTGCAAACTACTGCTTCTGGTAAGAAGTAAATCCAGGGAACATTCCATTTTATCTTAGACATAACATTTACTAGTTTCCAAGCATGACAGAAATGGAAAAATATATATATTAGAACAAGAACAATTTATGTTAATTTCCACAATCTGTTTCCTTCTGTGAGCAGCGCCTGATTCTTATTAAAATTAACAAATTTAAGTTCAGTCCTATGCTTAGGAAAAAAATTGTAAGAAGGACTAATTTACAAAGTATACAAGAATATAATTTTATAATACATCTTTCCAGTGTTCGCTATAACTGCATTACATGAAATATTTTCCTCCACAGAAACTGGGAGTGAGAGTTCTTACAAAATGAAGCAGAACTTTCATGTTAATCTCTGCCAAGCAATGAACAAATACAACTTACTCTCAAAGGATCTAAGAGTTCTGCCTCAGGAGCATAAGCTACCATTAACATGCTGTATGGAGTCGTCTTGGAAGTGGCTACTACTGGGAACCTCTTCCTCTCTTCTAATATCAGTGAATCCATCTCACAGAAAACCCAAGAGAAAACCAAAGAGATGGCAGAAGTGAAACTCAGCATGCTCCACTCATAATTGTCTAAGGTAGCCATTCCAAAAGCAAAAAAAAAAAAAAAAAAAAAAAAAAAAAAAAAGAGAGAGAGAGAGAGAGAGAGAAGAAGAAGAAGAAAAGAAACCAAAAAAAAAAAAAAAAAAAAATCCCAATCCAAACCAGAAGGCAAATGCTGCTGCTCAATCATTAGGTGGACTTCAGAGGCAAAAAAGTGTGACAACAGCAATAATTCAAGTAAAGTATGTGTGAAAATTTAACACGTCACTTTCAAGTTAAGACAAAGTGAAGGGGACCTATGATCTTTATATCAGAGTCAAAAAGCTTAGGCATTATCACCAAATGTTAATTCACTTTACAGTCATCAACAAGAATATTGTATATATTTTTGCACCTTGCGCTTGAAAAAGCAGATAAAATATTTAATATGTACTTTACAATGTATATTATGAGCTGAGCATACAGGATGTATATAGATTATATCAAAGTAGTAGACAGTTAGGGGTCTGTGCAAACCCTGCAAAAATAGTACTTCAGGTATCTGCTAATTAAAAAAAAAAAAAAAAACAAAAACAAAAACAAAAACAATTTGCTGTTTAGAAGTGATACAATTCAAACTACCACAAAATACAAAGGGCTGAAAAATGTATACCATTCCAACAACATATATAAGTTATTAAATAAAGATTTGATTTAAAAGAATATAAATGAAGCCTTTAAGTAGGTCTTTTCTACATGCATATTATTCCTCATTAAAGAAAAAGTATGTAAAAAGGCCATTGGTAATTGCTTTGTTAACTTCTGTAGAAAATGCCAATTCTCTGGTCACAAACTCCACTAAGTTTAGCACTTAAGGTCTCTGCAGTGTTATAAACGTAATTTAAAATACTGTTAATTCTATAACTCCATTGGTAAAATAATGTGACTTGGAATATGGCAGTCTTCATGTTGAGGGCAATGATCCACAGTTTTGTTTTGTTTTTCAGTTTCTTCAGTGTGAACAGCTATCCAGAAGAACAGCACCCTCCACCACTGCTCTGAGCTTGAGGTTCATCGTCAATTATTTGTACACCTCGTCTTGCAGCTCCTGGTTGACTGGAGCCATTGCCTTTTGCCCTCTCATCAACTTGTGCTGTTTCTATCATTCCTAAAAGGAGAAAGTCAAAATTATTAATACCACAAATCTTTTAGTTTTCTCTTTCTATAATAGCTGTATACCACTATGACAACTATTTCTAATTTTCAACTTACAAGAAACTAACACCGCATAGCTCTCTTAAATAGCTTTACCATCAAGTTTAAAAACTATTATCAACATAACTATAGCTTATGAGACAAATGAATATCCTCCACTTAATACACTAAAACAAAGTCAATCTTTGAGAACAAGTTTTTCTATTAACTCTTCTAATGCAACTCTTTGAGGACAGAGGTCCTGCATGGGAAGTTAGTGCATGACATCAGTGATCAACCCAAGGCTCTTGACATGAGCTGCCTAGGCTATGGAAGCCTTTGGAATCCACAAATTCCAACAGTATTTAGACAAAGTCATAGTCAAAGTGGAAGTTCTCTCCTCCCCTCAGAGAAAAGTACCTCCTCCCTTGAGGACCACTTTTTTTTTTTTTTTAACTTTTATTTAATGAATATAAATTTCCAAAGTATAGCTTATGGATTACAATGGCTTTACCCCCCCCCCATAACTTCCCTCCCACCCGCAACCCTCCCCTTTCCCGCTCCCTCTCCCCTTCCATTCACATCAAGATTCATTTTCAATTATCTTATATACAGAAGATCAATTTAGCATATATTAAGTAAAGATTTCAACAGTTTGCACCCACACAGAAACACAAAGTGAAAAATACTGTTTAAGTACTAGTTATAGCATTAAATCATAATGTACAGCACATTAAGGACAGAGATCCTACATGAGGAGTAAGTGCACTGTGACTCCTGTTGTTGACTTAGCAAATTGACACTCTTGTTTACGGCATCGGTAATCACCCTAGGCTCTTGTCATGAGTTACCAAGGCTATGGAGGCCTTTTGAGTTCGCCAACTCTGATCATATTTAGACAAAGTCATAGTCAAAGTGGAAGTTCTCTCCTCCCTTCAGAGAAAGGTACCTCCTTCTTTGATGGCCCATTCTTTCTACTGGGATCTCACTCGCAAAGATCTTTCATTTAGGTCCTTTTTTTTTTTTAATTTTTTGCCAGAGTGTCTTGGCTTTCCATGCCTAAAATACTCTGATGGGCTCTTCAGCCAGATCCGAATGCCTTAAGGGCTGATTCTGAGGCCAGAGTGCTGTTTAGGACATCTGCCATTCTATGAGTCTGCTGTGTATCCTGCTGAGGACCACTTTTTTCTACTGGGGTCTCACCCACAGAGGTCCTTCATGTAGGTTACTACAATGCATGCATGTATCAAAATATTACACTGTACCCCAAAATATGTACAATTATTGTGTGTCAATAAAAACAAATGATTTTTTTTTTGACAGGCAGAGTGGACAGTGAGAGAGAGACAGAGACAGAGAGAAAGGTCTTCCTTTTACCGTTGGTTCACCCTCCAATGGCTGCCGCGGCCGGCGCGCTGCGGCAGTGCCGCACTGATCCGAAGGCAGGAGCCAGGTGTTTCTCCTGGTCTCCCATGTGGGTGCAGGGCCCAAGCACTTGGGCTATCCTCCACTACACTCCCGGGCCACAGCAGAGAGCTGGCCTGGAAGAGGGGCAACTGTGACAGAATCTGGCACCCCGACCGGGACTAGAACCCGGTGTGCTGGCGCCACAGGCAGAGGATTAGCCTATTGAGCTGCGGCGCCAGCCAAAAACAAATGATCTTAAAAAAAAAAAAAAAGAAAAAAAAAAAGAAAAAAACTATCACCAAGTAGTAGGCATTTACCCAGTGGTATAAAGGCAATAGTAACATTATAAAGAATTTTTTTCTGCTCTGAATGTATGAATGTATATAAACATAAGCCTTAAGATTTTTCCAAACATACTTGAAAATAAGCCAAAGAAGTTTAAATTGTTCCAAGTACAAGTGAAAGACCAGAAAGAGCTAAAGATGAAAGAGCTTCAAAGAACAGCTTGGCGGTAGATGCTTGGTGGAGAGATCAAGTTACCATTTGGGATGCCTGCATCCTATACCAGAGTGCCTAGGTTTGAGTCCCAGCTCCTCTTTAGAGTCCAGTTTCCTACAAACACGCACCTGGGAGCTGTGGTGATAGTTCAAGTAGTTGGGTTCCTGCCACTCATGTGGGAGATGTCAACTGAGTTTTGGATGCCTACCTCAGCCCTGGCTGTTGTGGGCTTTTGGGAAACAAACCAGAGAACAGAAAAATTCTATTTATCTGTCTTTCTACCTCTCAAAAGAATGAAATAAATAATTAAAAAAAAAAAAAGAACAGCTGGAGGACTCATATCATCTAACTTAAAACACATTATACAGCTACATTAACAAGATGGTGAGATACTGACAAAAGGAAAAACATGGAGATCACTAGAACAGAACAGAGTCCACAAACATGAGGATACTTCAAAAATTCATGGAAAAGGTCAAAAAAATTTGAAATCCACACACAGCCTTTTCATAATATACATTTTTCATAAACTTCTTGAAATTCTCTCATAGATTCCCATGTAAATGGTCACCTGATTTTTGCCAAGATTATTCAATGAAGAAAGAGTAAATTCAATAGTACTAGAACTGGACATCTTTCCATATGTAAAAAGTAAACCTTAACATACTCCAACATCATTTGTAAAAAATAAACAAAAAGTAAAACTACAGATTTTAATATAAAACAATAAAACTTCTAGAACAAAATATAGGAGAAAAACTTTTATTGGAGAAAAATTTTCTGTCTTTGGTTTAGACAAAGGTTTCTCATTTAGGACAACACAGCTGGGCAGGTGTTGTGGTGTAGCAGGTAAAGATGCTGTCTGCAATGCTGGCATCCCATATGGGAGCTGATTCAAGTCCTGACTGCTCCACTTCTGATCCAGCTCCCTGCTAAAGTGCCTGGGAAAGCAGTAAAAGATGGCCCACGTACTAGAGCCCCTCCACCAACATGAACATTCAGAAGAAGCTTTGGCCTCGCCCAGCCCTGGTCATTGTAGCCATTTGGGAAGTGAACCAGTGGATGGAAGACCTCTGTCTTTGTCTCTAACTGTGCCTTTCAAGTACATAAAAATGTATCTTAAGAAAAAAAGACAACACAGCCTGGAAGAAAATATTTGCAAAATACATATCTTACAGGATGAGAGAAGAAAAGACTAAACTTGGGGAATACTGAAAAAGTTTTTGAAGACATGAGATTTTTAACATTTCTAAGTCACTGGTCTGTAGCTTTGCAACTCAAAGTAATTGGATGCTTGCAGAAATAAGATTAAATCATTTAATGGATCTACTAAATCAAGATATGCATTTTAATAAGATCCACAAGTTCAGCAGTGGTTCTCACATTTTCCTATTTTTCTATTGTTAAAATACTGACAGACTCTAGGTACCATTCTCCAGATTTTGATTCAGTAGGTTTGGGGTAGGGTCCACAAATTTGCATTTCTAACACGTTCTCAAGTGATGTGCTAGAAGAATTATAAATGACTTAAGGGTATCAAAAAACTAAACTTCACTCCAAAGTTTATAAGAACATATATTTTTCTAAGGAGAAAAACTATAGTGTCTTCAAATGCTCAATGGTTCATAAATGTAAGGATTAGAATTTGACAGTTTCCCCAAAATGGCAGCATTTTATTGGTGATAAGAAATTACTTTCAGGTAGTATATAAACAAACTTATTTTTCTCTTTTCAAAAAACTTTTTAATATGGAAATTTACAAGCATACAAGTAGAAAGAATAAAAAATCTGTCAACTAAAGACTGGATAAAGAAATTATGGTATTTGTACACCATGGAATACTACATAACGGTAAAAAAAAAAAAATGAAATCCTGTCATTTGCAATAAAATGGATGCAATTGCAAAACATACTTAGTGAAATAAGCCAGTCCCAAAAAGACAAATACCACATGTTCTCCCTGATCTGTGGTAACTAACAGAGTACCTAAAAGGTAATCTATAGAAGTGAAATTGACACTTTGAGATACGATGACTTTGAACAGCCCTTGTCTCAACTGTTGAGGAACTATATATATATATGTGTATATATATATATGTATATGTATATGTTGTTGAACTCTACTTAGTGTAGGGTTAATCTTATGTGTATCAAGCTAATTGAAAATAGATATTTATAAAAAATAAGAATGGGAATAGGAGAAGGAAGAGGAAGAAGGGTGGGGGTGGGGAGAATCACTATCACTGTGTTCCTAAAGTTGTATTTATGAAATGTATGAAGTTTGTATACCTTCAATAAATGGTTTCTAGGTAAAATAACAACAACAAAAATAAAGGTTATTCTCATAAATGGGAAGGGGAGAGCAGAGATCACACAATTTCATCCATGCCTCTTAAGTATCTCTACCATTATTCTGAATTAAATCCCAGACACATAATTCATAAATTATCTTAATGTACATCTCTAAAAAAGATGAAAATTCTTGCTTAAAGCCCAACTGTAACACCGTAATCATACTTCAAATATTTTAGCAATTAGAACTTAACAACATCAAATAATGTCAAATATCCAATGAGTTTTCACGTATTACTGTTTCACAAAAGTTTTTTCACCAGTTTGTCAAATTGAGATCTAAACTGCAACAGATAGAGCTCTTATATCTAGTTGCCTTTAAAAAAAAAAAAAAGAGATCGATTTATTTATTTGAAAGGCAGAGTTACAGGGAAATAGGGAGAGACAGAGGGACACCACCCATCTGGTTTCCTCCCCAAATGGCTGCAATAGCTGGGGCTGGACCAGACCAGAGCCAAGAGCTTCTTCCCACTCACACATGGGTGCAGGGTCCAAGCACTTCGGTCGTCTTCGACTGCTTTCCCAGGCATATTAGCAGGGGGCTGGATTGGAAGTGGAACAGCTGGGACTTGAACCAGTGCCCATATGGGAAGCCAGATTGCAGACAGTGGCATAACCCACCTCGTCACAATGTCAGCTCCTTATATCTCTTCTGAATTATAAATTTCTCTTCCAGTTTCACTTTCAGTAGTCACATACATATTGTAGTATGCATTTAGGATATATTACATATATTTTTTCATAGCCATTAGTTACTTCTTAAAACAGAGCTAAGGCACGTATTTAAAATTTTAAGATTAATTTATTTTCTTGAAAGGCAGAGTTACAGAGGAAGGGCAAGACAGAGAAAAAGAAAGATCTCCCACCTGCTGGGTCATGACCCAAATGCCTGCAATAGCTAGGGCTGGGCCAGGCCAAAGACATGAGCTATGAACTCAATCCAGGTCTTTCAAGTGGATGGCAGGGACCCAACTACTGGCAACTTTACTTGCTTCCTCCCAGGGCATTAACAAGAAGCTCGAATTGGGAGCCAAACCAGTACTTGAAGCCAGGCACTGCAATATGGGAGGCAGGAATCCCAAGCAAAGTGTTACCTGCTACACCAAACATCCACCCATAGATGCTGGTTTTTATGATGAATGTCCTCTAAATGCCCACGCATCAGTGGCTTAGTCCTCAAATTCCTATGTTAATCGTACTAAGAGTGTATGAGGTATAAAGGTGGAATCATCGAAAATTATCTGATTGGATTAGGTTGTTGGGGTAGCTTTATACAGAGAGACACAGATACAGCCACATTCCCTTCTTCACATGTGATATTCTGTGCCATCTCAGATCTCTGCTAGCAAGAACGCACCTACCAGATGCCCAACCAATGGGGACACCCAATCTTGCACTATGAACCTCCTAAACCTAAGTAAAAATAAGTCTTTCTCTTTACATAAAAAGTTAAATACTCTCAGGTATTTTGTTGTAGTAACAAAAAGTAATACACATACTAAATCTGAATATACTTACGTTTACAAAGGTCAAGAAAGAGTTCCTCAATTCCTTTGTTCTGTTTGGCTGAAGTATGATAATGTTTTGCTCCAACAGATTCTGCATACCTTAAGAAAAAAGTAACTTCGGTGATTAAAACATTTTTATGCTTTTGTTATGCCTGCTATTTGACATTTATCACAGTGGCTATTTTAGTATCTATTAATTTACTTAAGTTTAGTAAAATAAAAATTATATAGCTTTTTAGCCTCTCTATACATAGATTCAAATTTTAAATAACAAATATAACAAAACTTGCAATGTTTTATAGATCTAGAACCCTAGTAATTTTAAAACTTTGTGACTCACTGCCTATTTGATCATGGTAGTTTTCTTTTACATCATTTTTACATTTTTACTGAAATCAAAAAGGGTAACAAAAGTGGAATATATTATTGCCTAAAGTCCAGAAATAATCAAAATAAACATGCTCCACTGAATCCAATAGCACAATCTACATTAAGAGGTTTGAGTAATACTCAAATAGTAAAGCACACTGTACTTCTAGAGTAGAGACAAGAGGGATGGAAAGTGGAGCAAAGAGGACACAACACTTACGATTCTGCTTCTTGAATGGAAACATGTCTCTCCTTTTCCAAGTCTATCTTATTACCTAATTTGAAAAAAGTAAATACTAATCTTTAACATCAATTCATTTTATAAAATTAAGCCAATTCTAAATATATAATTGCCATTTTAATTACCTGACAAAATAATATAAATCCTCATCAGACTTGCAAATATTTTGAAAGGATAAAGTTAACCCCACTGATTGAGAATTGATCATGACTGTCGGGGTAAACGCCTCTTCCTTCCTTAGATGGATCACTGTATACCCCTCCCCCAAATTGTAGCTTCCCTCAGAAAACACAACTTCTCCAAAAAATGGGCACTATTCTTTGCTTTAGGTATACCAGAGACCAAGATTATAATTTATGACCAAGTATAAATGGTCAAAAGTAACAGCCAAATAATTTCTACACTCCCCAATCAAATTAGAGCAGTCAATAATTAAGTATGGGGGCCGGCGTTGTGGCATAACACGTAAAGCTGCTGCAGTGCCGGCATCCCATATGGGCACCAGATCGAGTCCCAGCTGCTCCACTTCCTATCCAGTTCTCTGCTATGGCCTGCGAAAGCAGAAGGTGGCCCAAGTGGGAGACCTGGAAGAAGCACCTGCCTCCTGCCTTCGGAATGGCGCAGCTCCAGCCAATGCAGCCAACTGGGGAGTGAACCAGCAGATGGAAGACACCCCTCCCCCCCGTAACTCTTTCAAATAAATAAATATTTTAAAAAATAATTAAGTATGGTTATCTTACTGTTTACCAAAACATATTAGGCTAGCCTCTTGGATACCAAGTATAGTTTTGTTTCATGGATAACATAAACTGGTTAAGAATTAAAACATACAAATGGTTAAATACCCCACCACAACAGGAAGGAAGGCTGTTCTGTTTATTAAAAACCAATTTTAGAGGCTGGCATTGTGGTGTGGTGGGTTAAGACACTACCTGCAATGCCAGCATCCCATATAACTGCCAGTTCAAGTCCCAGCTGCTCCACTTCTAATCTGGCTCCCTGCTAATGAGCCTGGGAAGCAGAGGAAGATGGCCCAAGTACCTGGGTCCCTGCCACCCACATGAGACCTGAATGAAGCTCTTGGCTATTGCAGCCATTCCGAGTATGAACAATGGTTAGATCTCTTTTTTGGTCTCTCCCTCTCTGTCACTCTGCTCTTCAAATAAATAAAACAAATATTAAAAAAAAAAATTGTAGTGATTCACTACACGAACTTTATTTTAAAGATTTATTTATTTATTTGAAAGGCAGAGTTAGACAGAGAGCGAGAGAGCGAGAGCGATCTTCCATTCTCTGGTTCACTCCCCAGATGGCTGCAATGGCCAGAGCTAGGTCAATCAGAAGCTAGGAGCCAGGAGATTCTTCTGGGTCTCCCACAGGAGCCCAAGCACTTGTGCCATCTTCTACTGCCTTCCCAGGTCATAGCAGAGAGCTGGGCCAGAAGTGGAGCAGTCAGGACGAGATTCGGTGCCCTTATGGGATACCAGCACTGCAGAAAGCAGCTTTACCCACTACATCAAGGTGCTGGGCCCACTACAAGAACTTAATACATGCATATCATTCAGATTTAAAATTACTGAATTAAAAAAACACAAAAATTACTGAATTAAGTTTAGCTCTCTTTAAACATTGAAAAAAAAAAAAAAAACAGCGATTATGATAAAAAGCCACCAGAATAAAAATAAAGAAACTGCAAAATGTGGATTCCCTATTGAGTACAAGAGAGATGTTAAAGTCAGTTGCCCAGGTATGTAGTGCTAAAGGTAATGCAAACATCAGATAGGAACAGGGAAGCCCAAAGGAGGACACTTCAAACAAATATTTTCATCTTTTCTATTACAAAAAAAAAGAGGAAACCTTAAAAATTAAGATTATCTCTTCTTGGAACCTGATGGAATTTAGAAAACAATTTCATATAAAGCACTGAAGTAAGCACAATGAAAGACTCAAGGGGCAGCACTGCGGTGTAGTGGGCTAAACCTCCGCTGCAGCACTGGTATCCCATACCAGATGGGCGCCAATTCGAGTCCCAGTTGCTCCTCTTCCAATCCAGCTCTCTGCTATGGCCTAGAAAAGCAATAGAAGGTGGCCCAAGTCCTTCTACCCCTGCATCTGCATGGGAAATTTGTAAGAAGCCCCTGGCTCCTAGCTTTGGATTGGCCCAGCTCCGGCCCTTGCGTCCACTTGGGGAGTAGATGGAAGACCTCTCTCTGTTTGTAACTCTGTTTCTCAAATAAATAAATAAAAATCTAAAAAAAAAAAGAAAGAATCAATGTTTGGCCCTGAGAAGCCTAAGTCTAGAAATGCTACAGACTGAGACCTCAAATAATCTGAGCACCTAATTGCTGACAACTCCAAGAAGCTATTTACCACTATGACCTACTAAGGAGAGGGAGGAAAGTAGACAATACCAAAGCTCAGCGGGCACTAACAAATTTAGTAATGAGCTCGTCCTTCTTTGAACAGTTATCTTTCTACCTCAGCAAGAAGTTTTCTATTAATTTTTATTTCCAACACTGTATGTTATCAATAAAAATTCTTAAATATTATTTCCAATATATCTAACAATAACCAGAGGGAAAACAAGTTGTTTCATTCCATAAAGAATGCAAAAAGCACCACCTGGTGGCCAGCAGTACCAAAAATAGGTACAAGATTCTGCCTATAAAAAGGCAAAAACAGGGTGTTCCTCTATAGATATTTGGGAGATTTTTATTCTAATTAATTCCCTATGAATTTTTTCTAGATATTTAGTGCTTTATTTTCCAAATTCCACCATAATCATCAACATCTATGGAATAAAAGGTGAGCACAGAAATGCTATTTACTGTTTCAAATAAAAATATAAGGGCATTAATTAAGACCTGTTTTGTTTTTTCTAAGATTTCAAATTTGACTAATTTCAACATATCAGATTATCATTAAAGTAACTTTTTAACAACCTAATTATTTTAAGTTTAGAAAATGTTAAATTCCTTCATCACTAAATTACTACTACTTTGAACAATCAGTATTCACAATGGACTGATAGATTATGTCACAAAAAACTGATGTGCTTACCAAAGCTAAATCCTATTCTTTCAAAAGCAAGATGGCTAAGGGAGTAAGGCTCACAGGCTCAGATCTGTTTCAGTGTAACTGTGCAGTTACACATGAGTCTTTCTGATAGGCTTAAAACACCTGAAAATAAGGACAACCAATACAGTAAGCTATTTTAAAGAATAGTGCTATGAAGGTTCAAGAAACAAATAGGTTGACACTATTAAAAGTAGAAGAAAGCTCCCTGCTAAGAATAAAAACTTTAGCTCCTTTAAAAATACATATCTGAATTAAGAACTTGGAAGAAATATGCCTATGCTAAGGGTGGATGGCCTAAGAGTGATAGATATTTTAGTTAGACTGCCTTTTCTTTCTGCATAGCAGAAAGAAAGTTTCATAAAGTTTCCAAATGTAATAAAACTTAAAATCTTGGTTCACTTCACAGATGTTAAGATTTGAAGAAAACTACTTAACCTCTGTTAGTCTCACTTTGTACAACTTCTCAGGGTTGATGTGAAAGACCTAGTACACAGAACATGCTCAATAAAAAAATAGTTGCTAATATCAGCCCTCTTAATCACAGTGAATGATCAAATGAAAAATCAATTACTGTTATGAGAGAATTAAAATTCATAGAAGGTAACAAACTACTATCAACATCATGCTGGCTTCATCCAGCTCATATAGTTTACCCAAAACTTATTTTAGAAAAATCTTTCCTAAACTTAGTTAAGGTTTTCTTCACGGGATCCCTTCTACACTTCTCCTTTAATAGTATTTATCATACCAAAAAACAGAAGCTTGCTTTTTTGTATCTCCCTACACAATAAATTCTGAGAGGGCAAGGGCCATATCTATCTTATGTATTCATTCACTAAACTATTCCCAAAGCCTGATATACAATAAGCAACATAACAGGCATGTTGATTAAGGATGTGGGCATGATGCAGTAGGCAGACCCAAGTTAAAATCCAAGTTCTATCTCTAACTAGCAATTGACTTTGAGAAATATCAAGCCCTCCATGCCCATTTCCTCACCTGTAAAACAGAAACGGTCTTCTTGCAATGTTGTCAGGATGCTTGGATGACATAATTAATATGCCATTCTCAGACAAGTGACTGGCACTCACTAGATGGCAACTACAATTACTAACAAATATTTGTTTAACAAATGCACATATTAATGGAAGACTAAATGCAGAAAATTACCAAGTAGAACAACCACATCTAACAGTGCCAATCAATGGATTCATGACAACCTACAAGGAAAAGGCTCTGCTAGTGAAGTATGAGGCTCACTTATTACTGCTTAAGATGTGTTAATCAGGGGCTTAGCTAAGGATTCTGTAATCTATATAAAAGAGACATTGAGTTGACATGGCTGCTATGAAGTTTATGCCATGTTGGGCACTCTTAATAAAATAGTGTGAGGATGTTTTAAAAATCAAAGGGCTTGGATCAGTGACATTTGGATTCTAGTATTTTATTTCATGTTTAGGAAACACAATGAACAAACCTACGAGAAAACAATCAGTGTGATCAGCCTGTCTGGTAGGTATGCCAAATGAAAAACTGCTGAAGATCTAGAGATACAGCACATGAAGTAAATCATTCTAGGAGACTTCAAATGTTTGAAGGACTGTCTACATAAAGAGAAAGGAATATCTGCGAAAAGTCAATCTCTATGCCACGTTTTCCAAATCATTATACATTCTTTACTACAATCCTGTGTATCCTTATTCAAAGTTAGTAATGAAATAAAAGAGAATAAACACTGAACTATTACAGACAACAGAAATAAAAATCAAGTGGTAGAAAAAATAATACAAATGGCCACTAACAGCAAAACAGATAAAGTGTAGAATATTCATAGGATAAAATACTAGATGGCAAAAAGAGCAAAATGAACTAAAAGCATAAGCAACAGCAGAGGGGAATCTTGTAAACACAAGGTAAAACCAAAGACACCAAACACAAGAGTTTGCATTACATGATTCCATTTACATAAAATTCAAAACAAAACTAATCCATACACTAAAAAGTCAGGATAATGTTTTGGGGTATGGAATGGTGATAATGTTGGGATAATAAAGAAGTACAGGTGGGACTCAAGGATACTGTTTACACTCTGTATAATTTTCATGTTGAGAAAATCAGGTTACTGACAATTTGTATGCTTTTTCTTACGTGTCGTATTTCAATAAAAAGTTCACTTCAAAAAAATCAAGGTTACAAGGAATGTGATTTCAGCTAAATGTGAAGGAAAAATTTCAAATTAGTTAAAAAAAAAAAAAAAAAAGTTGCGGCCTTTCTGGTAAGAACTGTCACCACAAGTCTTCCCATGACACGATGATCTATCCTTGTATTGTGCCAGATTAGGTGAGCCATTTCAAACACCAGCGTATACACAGGATAACTCAGAACTCACAACAGTGCCCAGCTCAAAGGAGACACTCAAAAGTACTTGTGGAAGGAAGAAAGGTGGGTTGAAAAGAAAGAATTAATTCCTAGTCCCATTCATAGAGATTCTGACTTACTGCATCTAGAATGAGGCCTGAGAAACCTAAAATATATTTTTATGTTTTCCAGGTCATCCTAATGATAGCCATGTTTGGAAATAACAGTAAATGGGTTTTCAAAATTCTTCTACTTGAATTCTAACTAAAATCCCATGTTATACTTTCTAACAGAAGAGAGTGAGAGCTTTCAATATTCCTCACTAATCGTCACTAAACATTACTTAATGTTAAATGAGGTATAACTGACACTATTTGAGGCACTAAGCTGTCAGACCCCAATATTCCTAAACCTTCTCATAAATATGAAAATGAGGAGAATGCAATTTAAATGAACTATTTATATGCTTATTTAACCCAACTATTTTTTTGAAATGTTACTGTGACCTTGGACATGTAACAACTTTCTTGAAGCTTCTTAGATTTTTTTAAACATTTATTTATTTGAAAAGCAGAGTTACAGAGAGGCAGAGGCAGAAAGAGTGGTCTTCCATCTGCTGGCTCACTCCCCAAATGGCCGCAATGGACAGGACTGGGCTGATTTGAAGCCAGGAGAAAGGAGACTCCTCTGGGTCTCCCACACAGTGCAGGGGCCCAAGGGCTTAGGCCATTTTCCACTGCCTTCCCAGGCAATAGCAGGGAGTCGGATCAGAAGTGGAGCAGCCAAGACTCAAACTGGTGCCCATATGGGATGCCAACACTGCAGGTGGTAGCTTTACCTGCTACGCCACAGCACCGGCCATTTCTTTGATTTTCTTACCTAAATGTTAGTGATTTCTTTCTCTCTTCAGACAGATGACCAAAATCCCAAAAATTTAATTTTCAGTTGTTTAACCCACCATCAAATCAAGCCACACAAAACTCACTAATGACTAGCTGCAGCTTTGGCCACAAACTCCTAGGTGGTGTGCTAGGTGTTCCAGTCTGAAACTTTCCTGCCATCTAGCCTAACATCTAGCATCTAGATCAGAAAGCAGAGAAAATTATCTCCTAAACTTCCTCCTCCAGACTTGCACCCTGATCTGGGACTGTAAAGTTACCCGCCTAATGGTAATCAGATGAAAGAAATATTAACTCAAGGCGAAAAGCAGAATTTCCCCACTGTGACCATCTTGTTCTTTCATTTCCCCCAAACACCATCTTCATTCTCCACTAAAAGCTATCCTGGTTTCTCCCAGGTCCTTTTTACTATTATCTGTCAGGTAGAAAACAAGAGCAAAAAAGCACGGAGCTACACATCTTAAGGATTAATAAGGTAAGAACAGAGTCAGGATGACTTCAATCCCAATCCCATCTCTGTTAACTGCCTGATATTGGGCAAGTTATTAAGTACCTCCAGGCCTCAGCTTCCTTTACTACAGAAGCCCTCACAAGGTTACAATGATTATACAAGATAATGTCTGTCAAGTGCACAGCAGTCTCTAGGACACTTTTATCGCTCAATTATTCTACGGAATAATCCACAGAAAAGGGTGGCAAAGAGAAATTCCAGAAGTCTAAGAGTCATTTCTATAGTTCTTCTATTTTTACCCATTAAGAACATTCCTCCACCCTAGATAATAATCTAAATGTATATAATTAAATGAATAGAAAGGGAATACTGGCTTAAGTCGATGGCTTCAATTTTAAAACAGTTTTTAAACTCTTTATTTCAAACAGAATCTTATGGAGAAAAAAGTAACAGTCAAACTGAAACAAGGCTGGGGAACTGAACCCTGTCGCATTAAGTGTAGCTTCCCACTTCCTTCCCAAGGTATTCCCTAAAGACAAGAACCTGAATCTTCTAGAAAAAAAATCACTTCTAAATCCTAAATTATTCTAAAATATTAAATACTAAAATGCAATTCTTCTTCCTTTCTTATATAACTTTATAACAAGAATTACTTATTTATGAATCATTTTAATAAAACATTAAAGGAAAAAAATGTTTTAAAAAAGTAATGATGCTTACCAACTATACATAAACAGATTTCATTTCCCAACATTTTCCGTAATTCTTTGACCCAATTTTTTACCTGTGTATACAAAAGAGCAAATATTAAAACAAATCTTGTTAGAAATTACTATTATAATACCCAAAACCTCAACATTGTCAAAATATCTCAGAACTTTGCCCAATAAGTCATATGTTTAGTTATTACAAGCAATGATTCACATACAGATTATTTGTTGTCAGATTAGACTGCAAACCACAGTCATATAATGAAAAAAAACTATATACTTGCATACAGGTATTCACAGAGGTACTGCAATTACAAATTTTCATAAACTATCCAGAGATCCAAGCAAAGCTATTCATCAGAGCAAAAGCTTGTCAACTCCAGCCTCTGATAAATAGAATACTGTACAGAATCACTTTGGACTCAAGAACAGATGGACTTAAAACACTCTTCTGCACCCTAAACAGTTCTGAAACAGGGGCATAGGAACCTCTGTGGTACACGTTTTTTAAAAAATGTACTTGGACACTGGGGGGCAAAACAAAGTTTCCTTATTCAGTGTATAAAAAGGCTTTTCAACCTTGGTACTAGACATTTTGGCTCAGATACTTCTTTGTTGTGGAGTATCCTGTGCAATGTTCAATGTTTAGTAGAATCCCTAGACTCCTATCCACTAGAGTCAATAGCACTCTCCACTTAAGTCAATCAAAGATGTCTCCAGAGTTTGTCATCCTCTGGTGAAGAACCAGTGGTGTACAACAACATCAGTAACAAACTGATTATCTACTGTGGATGAAGCACAGCAATAGGCACAGCTGGCAGTAAATTCCAAGTAAGCAAATTAATCTTGGAAATTCATAATCTTAAATATTTCAATAACAATTATAAAACAACAAGATAAAGAACAGTTTGGCACCTGCTTTCATGTTTTTATAATGGAGTTTAATCTACATATGGTCAAATCACATAGAACTTATACACCTTCCTAAAAAATGTACACACATATATAAGTTAGAAAAATTATATTAGATACGTGGTAAGCACTTACTGTGCATCTGGTCCTATGGTACAAATGTAACAGTTCCACACTCCTATTCTCTGCAAAAATGCAGAGGAACTGTCTTTAGTAAACCCAAAATCTTTATAAGTGCAAAGGTAATTATTATTGCTACCTTATAACAGACTGAACCACAATTTTTTCAATACAGCCACATCTTTTGCTTCATTCATGTCTAAATTTTTCCAAGCATTGAGGAAAATTTGACAGTACTGTTAAAATGCATAGTCTCACCACCTCAAAATAAACAGGCCAGAATCTAATTACATATTACTCTACTATGCACACATGACAACCTACTAAAGTAGCCAATTAAAAAGAAACAAACTTGTTATATATCTCTAATTAGATTCTCCTTTATAGACATCCAAAATTTTTTTTAAGATTTATTTTATTTAGTTGAAAGAGTTGCACAGAAAAGTAGAGAGAGGGAGGGAGGGAGGGAAAGCTCTTCCATCTGCTGGCCCGCTCCCACAAATGGCGGCAACGGCCAGAGCTGAGCCGATCCAAAGCCAGGAGCTTCTTCCAGGTCTCTGCAGGAGCCCAGTGACCTAGGCCATCCTCCACTGTTTTCCCAGGCACATTAGCAGGGAGTTGGATTGGAAGTGGAGAAGCTGGGACTCAAACCAGCACCCATATGGGATGCCAGTGCTACAGACCAGGGCTTTAACCCACTGTGCCACTGTGCTGGCCCCTCGGGTCATCTTCTATTGCTTTCCCAGGCAAAGCAGAGAGCTGGATTGGAAGTGGAACAGCCAGGACCCAAACCAGTGCCCATATGGGATGCTGGCATTGCAAGCGGCGGCTTTACCTGCTACACCACAGCACCAGCCCTGACATCCTAATTCTTGTCTCCATACATTTTGTGGTGAGTTAAAGATGGTCACAGATTTATTGTCAATCCTCCTATCAAGTGGTAGTCAAATTCCCTACCCTCTGAATTTGGGCTGGCCTTGGAACTTACTTTAACCAAGAATATATGGCAGAAGTAATGCCATGCCCGTTCCAGACTTAAGCCTTAAGAAGGACTGGCAGTTACTCCCCTTTTATATTCCTCAGATCTATTGTTTATAATAAAAAATTACAGAATGAGAGAGCATATGGTGACATTACTAGAGGATAAGCCACCGGATAGAGGGAGAGGTCATCTGAAGAAGAGCCAGCACTTCTTGGACATTCCAGGCCCAGCCAAACTCCCAGTTCAGTGAAGCTGCCTGAGTGACTCTACTACCACCACACAGAGCAGAGACCCTGCCTGGTCAACCCACAGAAGTATGAAGAAATAACAAGCCATTCTTCTTAAAAAAAAAAAAAAAAAATTTAGTTGTCTTTGAAAGTTAACAGAGAGAGAGGGAGAAACAGAGAGAGATCTTCCATCTACTTGTTCAATCCTCAAATGGTCACAATGGGGCTGGGTCAAGCAAACAGGAGTCAAGAGCTTCTTCTGAGTCTCCCACGTGGGTGGCAAGGACCTAAGCACTTAGGATATCTTCTGCTGCTTTTCCCAGGCCATTAGTAGGGAACTGAATGGGAAGTGGAGCAGCCAGGACAGGAAATGGGATGCTGGCATCAGCATCTCAAGTGGCTTTACCCGCTACTCCACATTGCCAGCCCCCAAACCATTATTCTAAGTCACCAAGTTTGTTTTTATTATCATTGTTGTTATTATTATTATTTAATTTTGAGTAACTGGCCAATTTTTAAGATAAAAGCTTCAATTAAATATTTAGACCATTTGTTTCCATGCAAAAAGCCAGGAAGGATAATGAATAGCACCAAATAGCAGCCCCAAAATCACTTTTAGAAACCATTAAATCTGGGGTGGGCATTGTGGGGCAGCATGCTATACAGTCACTTGAGACACCCACATCGCATGTCAGAATGCCAGTTCAAGTCCTGGCTACTCTACTTCCAATCCAACTTCCTACTAATGTGCCCAGGAAGGCAGGAGAGGATGGACCAAGTACTTGAGTTCCTACCACCCATGTGGGAAAGAGTTCTTGGCTCCTACTTGGCCTGGCTCAGCCCTGGCTGTTGTGAGTATCTGGGGAGTAAACAGGCAGATGGAAGATTTCTTTCTCTCTGTTTCTATTTCTATCACTTTCCCTTTCAAAGAAATAAATAAATCCTAGAAAAACAAAATAAAAATTAATTCTGCGAGGTATATATTGTTTCATTTTCCCATTCCTTGGATTTTTTTTTCAAACACATCATTAATAATCCAAGACCTAAACTGTATAGCTGCTCCATCAGACTTAACTGGGAAAAAACTTAGAAAAAATTAAATAGGCAAGCAATTTCAGTGAGCAGAAACCTATAATGCAAGACAAGAAAAAGTTCTGCCTTGCAAACTACCCCCTTTGCATGGTTGACACATATTTTCCAAGGAAAGCTTTAGAAGAAAGGTCAAATAAGTAACCCATCCTGATTTGAATAGAATTCAGAGACAAGTGTAACATTAACTCATTTCTGGTTCCAAACAACTTTAAAAATCCTGCATTTGCGATATACCTTTGAAGAATAGTTTTTTTTAAAAGAGGAACTTTAAATAAACACTACCTAGATTGTACTTTATATTATACCATCTTGGATATTTAGTGAGAAAAAAAGTATAGATTTAATTTTGCTATTCCTTTTTCCTCTTCACAGTAAGAGAGCAGCCACATCAAATTTTCAGGTGCCCAATATGTATGGAATCAAAGAAAGAACGTCTATAAATTTTTCTGAAGCTTAGCTTCAATTATTTCCCTTTACAAATATTTGAGAAAAACATGCAATAAACAATCAATTGCTTTAATATGAACTAAATGCCCCAATAATATGATCTGTAACTACTAGTGAATAAACTGTATACTACACATTTAAAACCAAATATTAGTAAACAAAAGCATACTAATGGAAACTTGAAAAAAACTAGGTATTAATCTGATTAAGTCATGTACTCATAAAGTAAACAGAATACCTTCTGAAAAGAATCTTCATCTGTTATATCATAAACTAAAATAGCTCCGTTTGAATCTCTGTAGTAAATTGGACCCAATGCATGGAATCTCTCTTGACCTGCTGTATCCTAAATAAAGCAACAAATGCTTATTAGATCAGAAGAAAAAATACATCTGATACTACAACTACAGTGAATTTTTGATTGAGAAGTCATAGATAATCCCAAAATCGTTAAAAGAAATAAAGTAGGTTACAAAAGAAAAAATTTTAGTCAAATTATAACCAATATGTAATGTTTTACTGTTATACAAAGGTTACTTTCCCATTCTCAACCCTTTTCCTCCTCAGCAATCTCCACCTGCCCCATCTAAAACATCAGCTCATTGGCTGAAGGATCAAAATGGCCAACACTGTATTAAAGCCAAGAATAAGTCTCACCCTACAATTTTAGGTTCCCCACCTGGGGAGAATACATCAAGGCATAAGGCATGTACCAGCACCACCTGCCAACTGGTACCACACTCTAATACACAAGAGTCACTCCCTGAGAAGACTAGAACACGGAAACACAGGGTGAAGAAGAAAACAGGCCAGGCAGGCTGTCCATCCATCCTGCCCTCTCTCTAAAGTGGAATTCTCTTTGAATTGATCCTTCTCCAGCTTAAAAGTATGACAGCAATATTTAATTATAAAATTGTATTCAAGACACAATTATTAACCAGATTTTAAGAAATTTTTTATCAAAACAGTTTTGGCTAACCTTCAATTAATTTAAAAAACATCAGAGATTCAAATTCCACTTCTGGTGTTCTACTGCACAGTACAGAAACTCAGATAATGATAATGTACTCCATATTTTTCTAACAAAAAAAAGACCTTGAACATTTTCACCATAAAGAATTATAAATGTGGTTTGTTTGTTTGTTTGTTTGACAGGCAGAGTGGACAGAGAGAGAGAGACAGAAAAGTCTTCCTTTTGCCGTTGGGTCACCCTCCAATGGCCGCCGCGGCCGGTGCATTGCGCTGCTCCAAAGGCAGGAGCCATGCGGGTGCAGGGCCCAACCACTTGGGCCATCCTCCACTGCACTCCCGGGCCACAGCAGAGAGCTGGCCTGGAAGAGGGGCAACCAGGACAGAATCCAGTGCCCCGACCGGGACTAGAACCCGGTGTGCCGGCGCCGCAGGCGGAGGATTAGCCTATTGAGCCACGGCGCTGGCCAGAATTATAAATGTTTAAGTAGGTAAGTTTACCTTGATCTAAACATTACACAAAGTATGCAGGTATCAAAACATCACATGGTACCCCATAAATATGAATAATTTTTATGGACCAGCTTAAAATAAAATTTACAAAATTCAAATTTCTGTTCCTTGAGCCAATTAGTTAATTGGAACATCAAGAATAGGTAGAGGCCATAATCATATAGTTGAAAAAATTAACTTACCCATATGGCAAGGTTTACTCTTTTCCCACCAATATTCAACTTCTTTGTTAAGAAAGATGCCTAAGAAAAGAGAAATAAACATTAAGCAATGTTTTGTATAAAATAATGTTCTTTATCCTAATAACTATTGATGAATGAATCATCTCATCTCAATGTGAACTTAAAAGTTATCTGGGAAAAAAGTAATCAGAATTTTCAATTAATTACCAAACATTAAAGTCAGAACATTACTCACATTGTAATGTATGAAAAAGATTTTATGAGCACAACTTCTGAATAATACAGGAAAACGCAGGTATTGTGGTGCGGCAAGAGGTGACCTCTTGGGATGCCTACATCCCACATCAGAGTGCTGGTTCAAGTCCCAGCTATGCTGCTTCCAAACCAGCTTCTTGTTACAGCACTTGGGCAAGCAGAAGACAATGTCCCAAGTGTTTGGGTCCTTGACACACATTTGGGAAACCTGAATGGAGATCCTGGTTCATGTCTTGAGCCTGACTCAGCCCCAGCTGTTGTAGGCATTGCACCCACACGGGAGTCTCAGAAGAAGCTCATGGCTTTGGCCTGGCACAGCCCATTTGGAGAGTCAATCCACAGATGGATGATCTGTTTCTCCCTCTATTACTTTGCCTTTTAAATTAAATAAAACTTAAAAATACAATATAGTATGATAAACCAGTAAATAAAAAATACTTCTCTATCACTTTGCCTTCCAAATAAGTAAAATAAACTTTTAAAAAGTATAAAGAAAATGCTATGTACTTTTTTCAGCTTTTCCCCTATATATGTGGAAAAAAATTTTTCAGACAGCATTTAATTTGATATCATCTTACCTACTCAAAGGAAAAAAGAGTCTATGACATTTCAAAAATAAAATATAAGAAATGTTTCCTGGTGATTTACTTAAAGACCAGTATTACTCAAAATGGTTCTATAAGCATTTTATACAGTTCAATCGCTTACCATATTATCTAATAATTAACCTAAGTATATAATGTCACAGAAAGGAAAAGCCATTGTTCCAGTCTTCAAAGAGCTTATAGTCTTTTAAAGGGAATTACAATTCCATGTGATCATGCCTAAAATGGAGGGTCTGAACAGCATAATATAAAAAAGTATGCTAAAAAAGGAAGTATGATAACTGCCTGGGTTAAGTCAAAGAAGGTTTCAAGAAGAAGGTAAAGATCTTCCCTTTAGGAGTAGTAGGGGTTTTCCCTGACAGATGGGCGAAGCCACTGAAGCCTGAGATACATGACCCCACCCCATGGGGAACTCCAGCCTGGTATGGTCAATTCACAGATGAGGCTACATAGATGGGCAAAGGATGAATCAAAAAGGTTCTAGAGTTCCATTTTTAGATACGTGGGCTTTATCTTGTGAGTCTTAATAAAACCTGTCTCAAGATACTAGGTATTTTTTTTAACAGTAGGGTCAGGGACCAGTGTTGTGACACAGTGGATTAAGCCACCTTGCTGCCTGCGGTAGCAGAATCCAATATGGGAATGCTAGCTCAAGTTCTGGGTGCTCCACTTCTGATCCAGCTCCCTGCTAATGTGCCTGGGAAATAAGCAGATGTCCCAAATGCTTACACCCCTATACCCATGTGGGAGACTCAGAAGAAGCTCCAGGTCCTGGCTTCTGTCTGGCACAGCCCTGACCACTGTGGTCATTTGGGGAATCAATCAGCAGATGGATGATCTTTCTGTCTCTCCCCCTATTACTCTGCCTTTTAAATCAAATAAAACTTTAAAATACAATATAGTATAGTCAGATATATCTGGGAAGTACCTCATGTTGCTCTCTGTACATTCACAACGCAAATCAGCACCTGTAGATTTGGCCAAAAAGCAAGCAGTATAACTACATTAATATAAGCATTTCCCAAACTCATCTGATCTCTTTTTTACCTTAGTTTCTTCTGAATAGCACTGAATATCTTTCTCCTTGGAAAAATACCTAATTCACCCTAAGGCACAACGACTAAGCAATAGTAATGCTGAAAAGGGAGACTCACTCAAGGATTTTAATCAGTAGAGAAATAGGTTTATATTTTAAGAGAATGACTTTGGGATAGGAGGGAATGGTAGACTAGAAAGTCTCCTCCCAGGAAACACACTATTACAAAGTTGGAGAGAGAAATCAAAAGGGTCTGAACTAAGACTATGAAGATAGAAAAGAGAACAGAATCAAGAGTTACCCACAGGAAATACACTCAGAACCAGAGTCAGCTGAGATGATGAAAAAAGCAGTTCAGAGCTATGTAAAGACAGTTCGTTTAGGTATATGAGAATAAATATAAAACAGGTTAAAGCCTAAGATGGTGAATTACTACTGAAGCAGAAGAACCTTAGATTTTAGGAAGGATTTTCTGCTATGCACACACCAAGAAAAATTAGAACAAAGAAAATGCTGCTGGAGTTAGTGATTAACTAAAGAGTCTACAGATATAAACAATAGCATGTGTATCAAATTCAGGAATGTTTGCCTTCAAAGCCCCAAGCTATACTACAAGATATTTTGCTAAAGGAACTAAGATTATGCAAAAAAAAAAAAAAAAAGTAAAAAATAAATTAAATGGCAAAATAATAAAATAAATACCTAGGAAAATGTGAAGACCAAATATATGTTATGATGATAAATGGGACTTCTCCCATTCATTATAGCACAGGAACTAAGAATATGAACTTTGGAGCAGAATTTTGGGTTTCAATCTCAACTTTGCCACTTACTAGCTATACAATTTATTTGAATGCAATCATTATTATGGTTTTAGCTTTCATTCTCTATAGAATTTGAATCCTATCCAAATATTTAACAGGTAGGTCAACTTAAATGCTTCTCTTTTTTCAAACACATAAAACTGAACTGGTCTTCCTTCCAAATGGCTTCCCACTCAACCTTAGCATTTTGATCACATTAAAGTCAAGAAGGTTTAGAACCTTAAAAGTATTTTTTCCCTCACCTGTTGGTTCATATCTGCCCCATTCCTCCAACCTACCAAGCCTTGTCATCATACGTCCTCTGGGGTTCAAGGTCTACCAGTCTCACAGTATGTTATAATGTAAATACCTGCTATACCTTGCACTGCATGTCAAATTTTCTTAAGTCTCCCAAGTTTAAACAAGCATTTTATCATAACTCGTAGAGGGACCAGCACTGTGGCGTAGCAGGTAAAGCCGCCGCCTGCAGCACCAGCATCCCAGATGAGTGCCAGTTCAATTCCTGGCTACTCCACTTTTGATCCAGCTCTCTGCTATGGCTTGGGAAAGCAGTGGAAGATGGCCCAAATCCTTGGGCACCTGCACCCACATAGGAAGACCTGGAGGAAGCTCCTAACTCCTGGCTTCAGATAGGCACAGCTCTGGACTTTGCAGCCAATTGGGGAGTGAACCAGCAAGCAGATGGAAGATCTCTCTGTTTCTCTGCCTCTCCTCTCTGTGTAACTCTTTCAAATAAATAAATAAATCTTTTTAAAAAAAAAAACTCATAGAAGAGTTCCCTAATAAGTTATAATTTTAATAAGTATGCTTGAATAATATCCCTGCTATTTTACTAATATCATAATAACCTTCTGTCACAACTGTTTTTCTACCACTCCCTATGCAGCTTATGGCCCTCTACCCATGGTGAGTTTAAAGGACAGTATTAAGTTTTTTTTTTATAAATCATGGCTGTACAATTGTGTGGAAAAGATGCTCATCACAGCATTGATTATAAGGGAGAAGAAAAAAACAAAACAATTAAATAACTTAAATGTTCATCAACAGGCAACTACTTAAAAATATGTAAATATAGGGGCTGGCGCTGTATCGCAGCAGGTTAATGCCCTGGCCTGAAGCATTGGCATCCCATATGGGCACCGGTTTGAGACCCGGCTGCTCCACTTCCCATCCAGCTCTCTGCTGTGGCCTTGGAAAGCAGCAGAAGATGGCCCAAGGCCTTGGGCCCCTGCACCCGCGTGGGAGACCTGGAGGAAGCTCCTGGCTTCAGATCGGCTCAGCTCTGGCCGTTGCGGCCAATTGGGGAGTGAACCATCAGAAATGAAGACCTCTCTCTCTCTCTCTCTGCCTCTCCTCTCTCTGTGTAACTCTGACTTCCAAATAAATAAATAAATCTTTAAAAAATATGTAAATATAGTCTATTCATACAAAAGTACTTCAAAAAGTTTGTGGAAAAAGGAATTATAAATTTAATGGTGCAAAATATTTTGGAAGCTATGCAAAAAGTTGGAAATATATATTATGAAAAAACAGTGCATGAGTTCCAATAATTTTTTCCACTAAAATAAACATCTTTTAAATCCCTTTTTGATGAACTTTTTGAAATACCCTTGTTCAATGAAACACTACAAGTCATCTCTATCACAACTGCCAACACTTGCTAATATTTATTCAATGTTTACTTGCACCAAATATTGTTAACCACTTTAAAAATCATTTATAAACTTCTCTTTTATAAAAGTTAGAGCCTTCATCTACAAAGTTTCCATTGTCTTTGTATCCAAAGATCTCTGTAACAATCTGTATAGGTCTATCTTCCTTAAGACAGATTCTAGTATTTCTCTTACTCTCCAACTTACATGGACTTTACATTTCCTCCAATTCTGTTTGCACATAAAATTCTCATCAAATCTGGGTCTATGGTTTACTCTCTATTTGGATTCTGCCTATATAAATTTACTTTATGATTTATACTCTTCTTCCTTGAATTTTTAAGTTTTCTTATAGTATGCATACAATCCATACTGAATTTCTCTATCCTGAAAAATTTTAGGGAATCCAATCATGCAACATATAGTATATACTGCCTTGTACTATAAGTCACATTTTCAGTGATATAAGTAATTTGTTAGCTAGAACACATACTTTTATTTAATTCTCTCATGGTGTTCACAAGGAAATAGGCAGCTTTTAAATTTTTTAAGTTTTATTTATTTAAAAAGCAGAGTTACTGAGAGACAGAGAGGGAGGTGAGGGGGCGGGAGGAGGGAGAGACTGATCATCTATCCACTGGTTCACTCCCAAAATGACTGCAATGGTTAGGGCTGGGCCAAACCAAAG